ATTCAGCCTTTGACTTACCGTACATACCTGCAGATCCCAGCACTCAACAACCCATGGAAGTTAGGATAGATGGGAACGGTTAGATAAATATACATGATAGGAAATAGACAAATCTAACTATACTCTACCGAAGCATTCTACCCCCAAAAAATATTTTTCTGTTTTTCAGCTCTAACTTTTTTATGCTTTTCCATGGTATATGTCTATCTCGGATATTGAAAGCACCAGTTTGTAATTGAGCCTGAAGTCGGCCTCGAGTGAATGATTGGCGTTTTTTTTGTAACTTTCCAGACAAGACGTCGTAGAGCTTTTTCGCTATGTATCAGTGTACCTTAAAAGTACCATTTTCGTTTTATTTCAACGCCTTTGTAAATCTAGCCATTTCATCTCTTCCGGTCTTTGTAACCAGATACAGCAAGCCATCCTTTCTGGGGTATTGATGACGGAGTGTACTTTGGATTTTTCTCTTCTAAAATCCACCTGTACAATTCCATTAGCTTTAAAGAATCCTGGCATCCTTAGCTTACTACATATAATGTAGGATCACTTTGAGTTTGATCGACTCCTTATTCGGTTGGAATTATCGAATGCACACACTCCCACCGATAAAGTCTACTCAACTGCGTGAGAGGGGATCCTGGTCTTTCCCATAAATTTTCCTGGCCTGAAGGTTATCCTATCTCTGCTCCTCGCCCCCCCCCCCCCTCCCCGTACCTCCTTGTCATGTCCCAGAACCCTATTGTTTATCCTTAAGATCATAACGTGCTAATCCGCTCCGACTCCGCCCCCTCTGTGTGCTCTGGCGCTGTCATCTCGTCGTTGTCCGACACACTCGGCCGCGCGGCCACGCCCACTTAGGCGCGCAAATCACGACACCATCTTGCTAATTCGGTTAGTGTAGTGCATGTTAGGGGCGCTAAGCCCGGGCCTACAATTGCATTTGTTCGGGCTCGTTAGCACCTTCATCCGATGCTTGTCGTCGGGGTTTTGGGGAAGGGGATCCGAGCGGGATCCGGGAGGCGCTGCTGCATAATCGTGCAAGTGCGCGGAGTCTGTGATTTTTCGTCATTTGCATGGCTTCTGTCGTCTTTTGTGTCAATTTTGTACTCTATAGGATTTTACTTCACTTCGTTCGCTTCTTTCATGCACCTAACTACATTTCTTATTGTTAAAAGGTGAGGGGGGGGGGGGAAGGTTCATAAAAATGTTTAACATGTTTTTGGGTTAAGATTTATGCGACTTACAATTTTTACGAAGGGATGTATTACAGTATTCTCACATTATCAAATCGCATATTCATCTTCTTCTACCGCTCCCTCTACCCAATAAGTTTTGTATTTTTCTGAGGTCCCCTTTCTTACCTTCTTCCTCAGTTTTTCCCACCAAGAAGCAAAATACCCTGATCTTAGCATTACATATTAACACATCTTTTCTTCCATATCGCAACAATTAACAATTTTTACCCATGTTTACCCATGTTTACACGGCCAATCACAGATTGTTAATTGACGCACCGTTGGGAGTTTTACCCCTGGTACTTCGCACCTCATTCGTTTATAGTGATGCTACTGTGAAATAACCCATACTATGTCCTATTTTCCTTTGTGCAAATGCACAAGCAATAAATTTAAAAGCAATTAGATTGAGTTGTTTTCAAAGAACTGTAGATATCGGATTTCAGTGGTTGAGCAAAGCCGGTAGAACAGCACAAATAACAAGCACCTGTTGATGCTTTGCTTAGGATGCAGTGGGGCTAGATTTGGTGATCAGTCAGATTCATGCAATATTTCGTCTGCATACTCCTTTTTGTGGAGCTTTCACAGGAATTTTAGGAAATGTATATGTGCACCAACTGGAAAATTTAACTTTCGCAAGTCACAAAATATTTTTAGTTCCTGATTTCATTTGCTTGTAATAACATAAAATCATGTCGTTAAAGTAGTCGCTTCTATCGACTCATATTTTTCACTTTTTTAGGATTTTTATTTTTTAGTATAATCGAACATTTACCGAATATAGTGTCTGATATCATCTAGTGCCTAGTCTAGTACAAAATTCGTGCCTGACCATCATATTTTTGCTCTCAAGAAAGATGGTCATTATACGCTGAATAAAATTGCTAATGAGCCAAAATTAGCCTGTCTCTCTTATGAACTAGCCACTTCCTCTTTTTCACCCTTTCGAGCATTTTCTTTCTCTCCATCCTATCTGGAAGTTTTTTCAGGGCTTGAGTGGTAATCATCTCAGCTGTGCTGTGTGCTTCAAGCATTGTTTGCCTTGTCCCCTTCAAGCAATTGTGTTGTTTTTCAGGGCGAGGGGACCAGTCGAACTTGTAGTAAAGGAGGCTAAATATAGGCATTTTGGAGGAAAAGAAGACGCTGTTGTTCGGTTTGCAGGGCAACTAGTTGCTCTTCTGACTAAACCTGCCGGAAATTCTTTGAAGTCTGGAATCTTTCCTTTCCTCTTCTGGTTTTTCAATGAAGAGACTAGTCGAAACTGAAGTAAAGGCTAAAATATTCCCTTCAAAGAAACGACTCTCCTAGTTGAAGTCGGCAAGGATTTCGACTCTTTTGTAAACCTGTCGAAAGTTCCGAAGTTTCTGGAATCCGCAAACCTTCCCCTCTCAAACCAGCTTTCAATTCCACGAAAACCCAAATTCGAAATAAACTTTCTATCTTGGTGTGTTGAAAAGCAATCACATTTGTGCCCTAGCCTGTCGGCAGCTCCGGAATTTCTCGGGCTTCGCCCATTTTCTTTGTTAGAGCGGCTTCCGAATGTTACTGAAAGGATGTTAAACTTGGAGTGAAGTTGTGAATGAAGGCAATTTTTAGAGAGAACAGTTTTGCTCGCAGTAAAGGCTTTTTTCTGCTATAAGTCTGCCGGAGCTTCCGAAACTTCTTTTCCCGAAACTTCTCGGAAATTCCGAATTTTGAACCTCGCTTTCCGTTTCCCTCCCTGTCTTGAAGCGTATTCCGTCGGCGGCAGAATACCATGACGATCATCTCAATCTGTCCGCTCGTTACGTGGTTCATTTCATCGTCGATGGTTTGCGTATGTGTGGTGTCGGTGGTAATATGCCGGTTCGTGCGCCATAGCCAAGGCCACCACGGCTGCACCTCAATAGACTCGCGCAATACTTATCGTCGTGAACTCCTTCACAATATGCCTATGTATGGTCGAGTCTTCATGATCGTCGCCGCGGCGCGGATAGTCGTAAACTTGATCGCTTGTTACGTGCCCACACCAAACCACAATACACAACCACGAGGCACATAATAACTCTACTTGTGGCTGTCGCGATCCCCCCCCCCCCTCCCCTCCGCTTCGTCAAGTTGATCCTCTCGTAGAGAATTCACGATTGCACATTCTAGGTCAATGGGGTTATGACTGAGGGCAATTGTAAAGGCACTGAAGAATGGGCACATTGGCCTCATATATGAATTCCTTAACACTAAAATCCAAACAAACCCCATTTTCTGTGACCGCAGCCAAAATTCTTGCTGCAGAAGAAAATGTCATATTTGTACAGTGTGCATACAAAATGCCCCTGAGCGGGTGAAGCAAGCCACAGTTCTTCGCCAAAGGGGTGAGGCCAAGGGCGGAGTTAGCCATGTCGGTCATCTTCTCCCACTGCACAAATATTCCTCTTCTGCATTTCCATACCTTTATCTACTGCATTCCTGGTACTCTCACTTTTATCTCTTCGGACCTGGACTTTACTGCACTGAGAATGATTTCAAGCACATAAAATACAGATTTTGCCTGCTGTTCCACTATTTTTCTATAGAGAACTCAAATGAACGAGAGTCACAAAAGAAAATTCGGAAGAAAAACTGATAATTTGCAAACAAGATGAAATATAACTTTTTTTCAATATGCTGTCTCCTTTTCTTTTCCTCCATTCATTCCTTCTGTCCTCTCTTCTCCTCTCCCATTCCTTTCTCGTCCCAATCGCTCCTATTCCTATCTTGAAAATGTACATTTTTTTCCAGCAGTATTTTTCTAGTCTCTTTGCTGATACATTACAATATTCTGTAAGATTTTGTAGTGTCTAAAGAAAGCAGTTATTTAAGCTGTTTTTCATCTATTTTAGTCCTTATTTCCCTAGAATTACATGAATTTTTCCCTTTATCCCTTATGCCAGCCATTTTTGTCGCTTCCGGTGTGCCAGCGGGCTGCCTTTGAGCCCGATTGATATTTGATGAGAAAAAAGTAAAAGCTTTGTGAAAGTGCATTGAAAAAAGGATGGGCTGCTCGCACGCACTTTGGGTTTCCAAAGGGAAATCGCGGTGAGATTTTGGGCAGAATTGGCTTTTGAGTGATATATAGGCATATTATAATAATTGAGGAAGAAAGCCGTTAAGAAGGTTGTGGGAGGGAGAAGAAAAAATGGAGGAATGGAAAGAAAAGAAGCTTAGAATCTTCCAAGACGCGTCAAAGATTTAAAAAATTTTGCAGTTTTTACAAGCCCTTAGAACTTATTATAGTTTATGGATCGCTGCCAAAAATCTGTTTGTCTTCTCGAAGTAAATTAATGTCTCCCCTTATTTGTTTACCCAGTCTCAGATCATAGGCTTATGTTTTACGAGGGCTATTATGCCACTGTGCGCCATCGGCAACTTCTAAGCGCCGCGCTCTAGGATGCCACAGTTTCAGTAAACAATCCTGTAAACAAACCTTTAGCTCCCTTCCCGCCCATTCATAGATGTCTCAAATTCACTGTAACCGTACACGCTCTGCAAAATCCTGTCTCGTTCTCTGCAAAAGTGCGTCATTTCGAATGTTTGCCTTCTCTGTGTCCGTCTATTGTTGAGCTAGTCGTATTTTTGCCGAAAGACGCTATGCTTGAGCGTCGTCGTCGCGTTCAGTGTTGACGCCTCGATCGCGAGAATTATTTACTTTTCCACCCGTGGTGTGAATCGACAATTTCAACACCTATCCAGTCGGATCCCTCAAATCTCGACGGGTTTCAGGTTGCGTCGCGACATTTTCATGACGCCATGGCCACTTGTGAGTGCCTTGTCGAACCACCGGTATTTCATCTACCTCCACCACCGGATGCGTCATTGATATGGCATCTGATTAGCGAGGAACCCTATGAGGCGGTGAGTTCTTTCAAAAATAAATCATACAGTATTATAATAACCTGAAAAATCTGCTCAAATCGCAAAGATCTTATCTCAGATTTGCTTGTGTCAAAATTTTCACTCTTTTCTTAACTAGTAAAAAGTTTTTGTAGTTCAGAAAAGACTTATTACCTGAGATAGTCGCCGACTATTTGCTAATCCCAATATCCCTTCATTTATCAAGTATGAATGAATACATATTTACGACGAAGGGGTCCCGACATTTTTTTGTAGAGGGAAGGGGCGGTAGAGGATTTCTTGACTATCATTCTTGACGTTTTTGTAATCCCATTGGACTGGTAACTTATGCAACAAGGCTGATTTGGATTTTCATAAAAATTATGGTATCATTTACAAGTGAAGGCAATCAGGATATTAAAATTACCTGCACATTGTTATAATTCACGTAGAGTTTTCAAAATTTTTCTATTTTCTGTCTCACCCCTCCCTTCTTTTTCTGTCCACCAATTCACTTTTTTTCCAATTCGACTGTACGCTTTTGTCTTCTCTGTGAGTTCATGGTTATTTTTGTTGTATGAGATTTTGATAAATGTTGAAAGTATACGAAATTACTCCCAAAATTCAAAAGTGCGCGATTGAGGGGAAGTGGAAGAAGGAATGGAAGGGATAAGGGTAATAATAATATTCATCGTTTGTAAATATACCTACTACATACATCTGCAGAATTTCGATTGTTCTCGAAAATTTCTTTCTAGCCAATTATCCTTAATATATTCTTTTATAATCAAGCTCCCCGATTTAATGTCATTGTACAGCAGCTGTTTAGCATTCTCCACTAGCCATGCAGTGTAACTCCCGCTGCTAAAAGTTTCCTCGCTCGCAGTGGTCATTTTTATTTGTTTGTGACAGCTATTCAAAGAATTTCCTTGCGTCAGCACCCGGGCGATATTCCCCAGGGACCAACGAAATGAATTCGCGCGCAATGGCTTTGATAATACATCATAGTATGCAAATTCGCGGGGCCCTAGAACATGGTGCGCGTAGCAGGGTGATGAATCCTAGAATTCAATTAAGACATTGAACAGATGGAATGGGAGGAATGAGGGTAAAATGCAATATCTTCAAAGAAAAGTTCATGAATGTGAGGACCTTTGAAATCTCTAGGAATTTTCCAGAACTTTCTGAACGACCTATGCTCCCGTAACTCATCCACTTCTCAACAAAAAACCTCTGTCAATCAACATAATCTCTACAAATTTACATAGTTCACACTAATCCCCTCTTCCCACTACTTCCCCAGCAGATAATACGCCACACAAGTGGATTACTGTGGATTCTGTACACGCCAATCATGCAATGCCATCCACTTCAGCTACTATACAGTCCACAAAGGGATGATGGCTATGTGAACAACCTAATCCTCCTCTCACTAATCGGAGAATCCTTGAGAAAATGTTCGGGATTCCTAGGGAGAATTGCTAGTTGTGGAAGTTTGAAGCATGTGTGTTTCGTCAAGCTCACGAGGTGTTTGTGGGCGCTGCTAATTGGTTTCCGGTGGTGCTTTAGGGCTGGGCCTCATGCGCTATGTGCTGTGATTTTGCTCGAAATTCGGCCAAGGATTATGGAAATGGAGATGGGGGATGCGTTTGAAATGGGAGCAACCTACTAAAAAGTGGGGGGGGGGGTGGAGAGGAAAGGGAGGAAAAAGGTAGAAATTATTTTAGCTGGAAATTCTAACTGGATTCCAACCAGAGTAGGAAAATTTTCTTGATTTTCTTGTGTTTTGCCCCCATAGGAAGGATATTGATCGGCGAGTCAAAAATATGAGAAGGAAGGGGAGGCGGTGGAAAAAGGGGTGAAAAGAGGGCACTATAAGTCATCTTTGAGATTGTTTTACCAACAACTATATGGATTTCTCTTGCGCTTATAGCTCGTAAAAATTAGCAGCTTGTTTTGCAAAGAATTTTTGGGACGAGGATGGATGAGGTAAGAGGGGGAGGAATTTTTCATAAATCTGATTTAGTCAATGAATGATGTGCATTTTCCGACTAGCTGTAGTTTTTTTCACTGCTTTTTTATTTTGTTAGGTCATGTGTATCATGGATGAATGAATAATCAGATAAATAAATAAATACTGTTTAATTAAAAAAATTACTTAATCAGGTTAAGTTGTCTATTTTATTATTTCATTCGTTATCTCTCTGGATGAATGGACATTAACAATAACTGTTTACTGATCTTATCAGTTTGCCAAACAGAAAAATCAGGGTAAAAAAGCTTTCAACTTTTTGTATTAATTTAGTTCTTTTTAGCCAGCCGACTGCGAATGGAGCCCATTTATCTCAATATCGGACGTCTCGTCAAAAATTCCGCTCACCCCGTTGTCGAGCCGCTCACTCATTTTCATTTCGCTCATCGCTTTGCTCATCCTGCTCTCACTTTGCACACTGGTCGTATGTCGAATCAAAAGGTACAGTTTCCAGTTACCGTAGTCTTTCAAAAATTTATTGATTAGCCTCGGGATAATTATTGTATGCACGAAGGCCTATCGGCGTACAGCAAAACGTCGCTCGACCATGTCACTTTTTCGTTGATGTAAAAAACACTTAATGAGGCAAAATATGAGGCTCGTCAACGTCGTTCTGTTGCACGTTGTCCTTGACGTTTTATACACTTTGAAATATAATGACAGTGTGTGTAGTACGGTAGCTCGTAACAATGTCACGAAGAGATAATCTTGCAATACATGAAAATGAAAAAAATGAGGTGAGAAATTAGCTGCAACGTTCGCCACTGCTGAAGAATATGGTTTTTCGGCACATTCCGAATTTCTTTGATAGTCATGGCCAAGTTATATTTTACGAGTTCTACAAAAATTTATCTGTTTGCCAGTAGTTCAGCAGCAAGTTCATTTCTTCCTTGAAAATCTCAACTTTTCATATTTTGATTTCAAGGCAAAGTTTGTAATTTCAAAGAATCAGAATTAAATGATCAAAATTGTCTTGCTGCAAACTGGGCATAAAATACTGCCATTAAGTAACATTGATGATTTTTATGCACAGTGAAGCTTTTCCACAAAATTTGAAAATTTTTGGAAAACCTTTAAAAATTGAAATTAATAAGAAGCAAAGTTAAGCGGACTTTCCATCTCATGGTATTTCTTTTTGGGTTCAATCTTGCAGCGTTTGTAACTTTCACTATAACTGAGAAGAATAAAAATATTCGTAGAATCGCATAGCCGAAAATTTAGCAGCAAATTCTGTCTCTACTAGGAAAAATTTATGTTTCTAGAATTTTCATATTTTTTGGACACTGTTCATTTTGGTAAAATTACGAATTTTACTGCAAAAAGCAACCGCAAAGTCCGCAGTCACACAAAAATGTACCTTTCCTTTTTTCGTTTCTTCGATTTGTGAGAGCGGGGAGGGGGAGGAGGGGGAGGGGGGAAGAACCGGGAATTTTGACACCGGAAAAATGATAAGAAAATTACAATTGCTGGAAATTCCCCTTTCTCCCCTTCTCAAAAGACTATTACGGTTTGAAAATATTGATTTCTCAAAGAATTTCCTTTTTTCTGGACGAGCAAAGAAGGAAAATTAACAGATTTGCGCGCTTGTGAAATTTTTGTTCTCAGAAAGTCGGCACATAAAAGCTCCTTTGCCTAATACTCTTTGTTACTGATCCTCTTTACTATTGTCCAAGAATTTACTATCTACTTGATTAGCTGTGTAATCTTGAAGTATCGCTTGTCAGAGCATCAAACGCACCGCTTCCCAGGAATTTCACCCTAAATGTCGGCCCAATTCTCTCTGCCAAGCTTATTAATTGCCAATAGCGTGACCCACAGAGCCGATAACTTGACAACTCAATTCATCACCCACGTGGAGCATTGATCATCAAGAGATTAGGTTCGCTAAGGTCAGACCAGACAGACGCACATCACAGCTATGAGAGATGACCCAGCCAGAGAGAAATGAAGCCAGCTCGGTTTGAGCGATGAAGCTATAGCCCTCGTATACACCTAGTACATCCGAAAGAATTGTTTAGTAATAAGGGGGTGAGAAAGATGAGTCATCCAGGGGGGGGGGGTAGCAAAAAATTTCATGCTACTACTGCTATGACTAAGTTCTGCTTTGCTATGCATGTCGAAACGGAAACTGTCGCGTGACAGCCTTTGGCGATTTGGAAAGCGATGTAAAAGGAAGTGAGAATGGTTGGTTTTGTTGAATATTTGAAGAGATGAAACTAGTAATTGGTGGTAGCCTGGAGGGGGGGGGGGGAATGGAAAGGGGGCAAGGGGTACAAAAATATATACGAATGTTTGGTATCCCATGACTTTTCTAAACATCTTGGCATGCTCAGGATGATTTTGAGATGATAAGGTTGACCTTATGACTTGTAACAATCTGGTTTGACAAAAACACACAGAAACGTTTTCAAGACTATTTATTTACCGCTATCTTTTAACATTATATTAGGTTGTGTAATAAGTTCGTTCGCATTTTTTGTTTTGATTTTTTCTCAATATTTTGCAAAGCATTTGGCATAGTGTTGGTATGCGTTCGGAAGCTCTAAGTTTGCTCTACCAAAATACTATCATTATAATCTCAGTTTTTGAAAATTTGAATAAAAAATTCCACTACAAACCGAAAAACCTGAAGTGGCAAAAATCCCATTTTCGACATCTTTTTTCTTCCTTGGTTTTCCCGTTATTCTTTGTTGAAATTTCTTCAAAAGGCTTGACAACGAAGAAAAACAACTAACTAACAAGTTATGCATTTACTGATACTATTTACGATTGCCCATTTCCTTTCACCGACCGTTTAATGCAATTTTCGCAAAACTTGGCGTAGCAAGGGTTTGCCGTAGCGGTGTTCGTTGTCTCGCGTCCGTGGGCTATGTGTCCCTCGAATTCTGAATTTTTGAATATGTAAGCCATTTATTCGATGATTTAGCGATCATAGACCACATGTCTGCCAATTCCTGAATTATTCGGCTACCACCTTTCTTCAGAGGTGCCTTCAGATGCTTAACGTTGACACCAAAAAGACATAAAAACATACCTATTTTTGAGCTTACAATATGAATTGTTTTTAAAAGGTTTTAGCACTACAGGTAATCTGCGGGAGCTATAGTATTCTACTTATACATGTCGCAAAATTTTTGAGCTGTTTCTTGATCACTCAAACCCATTCAAGGTGCGGCATGATATAGTTGTCGAAAATGGGATTTTCGCCATTTCAGATTTTTCGGTTTGTAGTCGATTTTTTCATTCAACTTTTTACAAACTGGGAATATAATGATAGTGTTTTGGTAGAGTAGACTTAGAGCTTCCAAATGCATACTAACACTACGCCAAATATCTTGTAAAATACTGAGAAAAAATTGAAACAAAAAATGCGAACGAACTTATTGCACAACCTAATATTTTTTCAAGAGATTGGGTAGAGTAGAGTATCTTCTTGTTTAAAGATCATTTCTCTTACTTGAAAATGTTGGTAAATTGCAGTGAAAAACGAGTAATTTCGAATGAAATCAATAAAATCCAAAAAATCAAAGAATCACACTAAGAAAAATTGGTGATTGGTATAGTTACCTACATTTATGCAAAATGAGATGGAGAGATGTCCAGAAAAGCTTACATATTACAAGATGCGAAATTTCCTACTGAAGCTGAGAATAAAATCAGTCTCGCGGATCCTACTATATCCTACATCCTAAATATTTTAGATTTTTGAAATCAAAAAGATCCCCCCCCCCTATTCTTTCTCCTACAGACTAAGTTTAGCCCTACTCTCTCCCTCGCCCCATAAAAAATTTGCAAGTCAATGTCTTCTACTTCCCCCACTTCATCTTCTCCAAAAGTGTGCAAAAGCGCGTTAGTGGCGTGCCGTGCTTCCTTCCGTTTGAAGGATGTGCGCGGCCCCACTTCATCAACGCGTAATTCCATAACACAATGAATAGAACGCCGATTTCGTATGTGTGTGCGTGTGCTGGCCGAGCAGAGCTATGCTCTCTTGTCGAGTGAATGTAGTTAGTCGTGATGAGTGGCGAAGATTTTCGGAAGATTTTGGGACCAAGGATTTGTGTGTAAAAGGGGAGTGCTGGAGGATAGTAGTTGTGCAGGTTTTTGGGGTGGGAAGTCTAACGATTTGAGCTTTTCCAATCTAGAAACAAACATAGACGTGGTACAGGTGGTATTATTTTTGATAGCCCAGGATATTTATGTAATATGAAGATTTGATCATGCCTATAAAGATTCCTGCGCTCTATCGCTGGAAAAAATTTCAAGAATTCAACTGTCAGTACTATGGTGTCAAATTTAAGAAATTTATTATATTCTTTCTGAATGCAAGAGCAAGTGGAAACCCCGTTTAAGTAAAGCCAAATTCACTTCGAAGAATTTTTATCTCAATCAGAGCTTTACGCGTAGTCAAATGATGCACTTCATGTGTTGAACTGACCTGATTTTATATACTTCCAAGATTTGTAAATCTCTTGCATAAATTTAGTTGGTTTGGTGCTCTTGGTAGTAAACCCATTATTTTATATCATGCAATAAACAACTTATTTCCAGAGGAAGAGCCAGACGGGCGAAGACGAAATCGACGTCCTCAGATGGTATCCTGGCAGCTGGAGATAACCTCTGGACCTATAATTCTATGAAGAATTCATGCTCGGTGAGTGTGTAATTGAATAGTAAAAATTGGGAGCGGGGGGGGGGGATTGAATAAAATTCTTTCAAAGTCCTTTACTGTTCGAGTTTACCTCGATGCTATTGAGATTTGAAAACAAGCAAAGGCTCAGATTAAAATATTGAAATCGTGACATTTCAGTTCGTCTCATTTCCAATTTCTGCTAGTTTTTGTTGAGAATCAAAATATTAGCATTCTCAAGGGAGCATAAGTTTTTCTGCATTCTATAGGCGTAAATTAGTATTTTTGTCGACATTTTTGTCTTTGTTTTATTTCAAATTTTTCAGGGTTCCGCCGGAGTTCTTGTCTACAATGGCATTTCTCACAATGCTGCCTATCAACAAACACCAGGAACTATACGGTAAGCACCATAAAAAGCAATTTTGACCTTGTTCGAGCAGATCGCACAAGTTTTGCGAGCAACAGATTTCCCAGCGCTGGCGCTGGTTTCGCATAGCTCAGTTTTTATGACGAGCTCATAAATCTGGTGACACTAGTGCTGGGTCTCGATTCTGCTCGTTCAGTTGGAAATACGGTGATGGGTGAGCTGGAGCTGGGGGCCAGAGCTCATTCATCATGATTACCGAAACAGGGGTCAGCGTTACGAAATGAAGGGGGGGGGGGGAGGAGGAAATGGGGCACGATGACGTGCTGTAAACAGGGGGTAAATTTCCCAGAAAACTTTTTACGCTAAATTTTTCAGTTCGTTTCCTCAAGCTCCTTCGGAACATGCACCGGTTCGACCATGCACAGCTGCCACCCTTCGACTACACCCGAAAGAAAACTCAGCCGCATACCATACTGTAGGACGATATGCTACATCTCCCACTGAATTTTATGAGGAAATTTCCAATGAGGGTAAGTTTTACCATTCCTTTACCCTCTCCGTCTCATAAAACTTCCCTTTCAGGTTACTACCCCTACAACACAAAGTGCCGATCCGTAGCCAATATCCACCCAAGTGCTTCTTTTACCAATGGCGGTTGTCGTCGTCCACCACCGACTTGTAGACCACCACCAGTTCCTGCGGCAAATACGTCGCATGAATATAGTCCCAATGGGAGCGAGGAAGGCAGCATTGATAGAGAGTTGGCAAGGTTAGATTTGACTTATTCAGATTCTGAGTCCACAATTTTGCTTTACTGTAAGACTACTGTAGGTAGCCAGTGGAAATCATGGGTCGAGGCGTTACGGTACTGCACACCGATAAATTCGTTTCTTGATCAGTTTCAGCTAGAATCAAGCGCTGTCATACCAATCTTTTTTTAACTCATCCATTTTCCCCATCTTCCTTTCGCGCATTGCTCGAAAAAGATAGGGTAGATGATTTCAAATCGATAAATTTTTCTTCTGTAACATCACTGTAGGGTTACGGTAGCCTGATCGTCAAGTTTTCAAGGCTTATTCTCAAAAAGGAAAAGATTATCATAGATTCTAATGATTACTATCATTGATTACCGTATTGGTAAGGAATGCATTGTCTACAGTATCTTTCGCATTGCAAGTTATTACTAATTTAGAAGTTTTAGAGGCATGTGCAAAAATTGTTGATTTCCAAAACTCAACACACCGTTAAGATTGAATTTTTAGGATTCCCGCCGATTCACCTCCCTTACCTCGATGGGAAGAGAGCGAACGACGAAGCGGTGAAGGTGGTCGCGAAAGCGGCTATGGAACTGCACCTAGTAGACAATGGAAAAGTCCTCCCGGGAGGTCAGTACCCTTTACTAAGTCATCAGAACACAATTTTTACGTTTAATATTTGTTTCATGATCTATACATTTACCTCATATATTTGTTTTAGATCCGATGATGGGAACCGCTTGCCGGGTTATGTACTTTCACAAGCTCCAAATGTTCACTCGATGACATACGTGTAGTAAAATCATGATTGTTTCAAAATGACATTTTCATTCTATTTGCCGACCAACATTATGACCTCCGCTGATAGATGATACGGGTTTTGTCATATATTGTATTTCGCAAAGTCTTCTCACAACGAACCTGCCTTTGTAGACAGTTTCTTTTAGAGTGATTTTGTGTGTTTTTTTGGTTTTGATTGTAGGGGTTTTTGCTGTGTATGATGTTTTACCTTGACGGGTCAAGGACTTTTACAGGATTTTTACATCTTCATAATGTTCAGCTCTGTACATGGCCATTACTGCGTCACTTGATTTTTGTAAAGTCCTTGATTTGCTGAGATGTGAACAAGTATGTGGTCTATCCTAGTCATAAAATAAAACTGTATACATAGTTCCTTTCAGCACCCTTGGTTACCAAAGTTGCATTTGAAGAACACTCAAAAATGTTTTGAAGGAAATAAATATGATAATATAATAATGAATAATATTATAATATAGATAATAAATGATAAAACAATGACATATCAGAAGCCAACGTGCAAACTGTTGACGATGTATGCCTGGTTGATGGAAGGAGCCTTACAAGGGAAGGATACCAGGTCGCAGTGGCGAACCGAGATTATATTAGGTCGTTCCGAAAGTAATTTCGCTTTTTTCAAAACGCTACATTTCGTGGAAGCAAGATTTTCAAGAGATCTTAGATGCATTCGATGCAGCATTTCATCCTCTTTCCAAAGGCTGCGATTCAACTGCAGAATACTCGATGAGCTTTTGAAAATTTACTAAAATCTCCAACCCATGCTTTTTGGGAAGGTCAAGTTTCACAATTTTTTTAATTTTTTGTAATAATTCCCGGAAGGAGTCCAAGTAATGGATGGATAGAGCAAACCTTATAGGAAACGGTGCCATTTTTTTTCTGCTCTCCGTATCACGTCATAATTTTTGCAGAGATTTTTCTATGAAGTCACCGAATTTTTGCAGGCTTGTCTCGAACACATATGCATCAAACACCAATAAACTTTCGGATTCTGAAACTTACAAAGGTGGATTATGGTTCAACACTAATTTTACAAAGTATACTTCAGATTAGCAACTTTCGGAAATTTTGGGTACAGCCTGGGGCACCCTGGAAAACCTCTATTATGATGATTTTTTCCGGAAAACTTTATGAATCGGAAACCAAAAACAACTGGTAAAAAGAGGAGAAAAAGCTGCGTTGAATGACACCCGAGTTGCTTGCCGGTTATTGTTCTGTGAGGTCTGAGTTGACCAAATATGGAATTTGACAGCATCGAAAAATTGGTTCTACAAACTCTAAGAAGCAAACTAAGGAAAAGGAAAAAAATTGTTTTGAGTCCTATAGGGTTTGCTCTATTCACCCGCTACTTGTACATCTTTGGGGAATCAGTACAAAAATATAGAAAAATAGCCGAACTTGACCATGACAAAAAGCATGAGTCGCAGGTTTTGGTAATTTTTTGAGAGCTCATTGAATATTATGCAATGAGATTATAACCATTAGAAAGAGGACAAAATTCTGCATCGAATAAGCCCAAGAGCTCTTGAAAATCTTGGTTCCACGAATTGTGGCGTTCATTTGAAAAAAGCGACATTACTTTCGGAACGACCTAATATGTACATCATTAGATGCGTTTTGGTGAGTAATTCCTAATTTATCTTTCCTATCTGCTACGAGCTTCTCTAGAGGAAGCTATGGGCGTTTAAAGATGTGAGATTGGTCGGATTTTGATGCGTAATGCGCTTTAAAAAACTAGCTTAGGAGTGATCAATTGGCATGGTTTTGAGTACACTGAGTACAAGAATTCCATACATACTCCGAGTACACGAGTAAGCGTCTTTAATGAGGTGGTTCTTGAAGATATGGCGCTGAATGTTTGCTAAATTTGGACATTCAAACGCACATAGTTTCTTCTAGAGAAGCTCTTAGCAGATAGGAAAAGTAGATGGAATCAGCTCATCAAAACGCATCTAATGATATGCTTATCATTTCGGTTCGCCACTGCGATCTGGTATCCTTCCCTTGTTAGAAGTATAGTTACATACAACACTGATTGTAACAGATACCACTTTACGGATTAATAGAACTGAAATCAAGAAACAGAAAAGAAAATCTAGATTTCTAGAAGGTTTCAGAATGCGTAAATGACTGCAGCTGAATCAGCATACGAGTTATTTTTACTCATGTTTTTGGATAAAATGACGCTTCCCTAGAAACTTGTGAGTTCTCGAGCTTGCGTAAGTTTGTGAAGTATATCGTATTAATAGGAATCAAGCAGAAGTTATGAGTCTTCCAATCACAGTACATAACAGAGAAGTTCATCAAATTAAAGCGAAAATTCACCTAAGAGTATAGCAAATTACCATTATCTTGCAAATTTAGTGTCGTATTTGGAACTCTTAGTCAACTCTTCGATTGTGGGGCAAAGGCTAGTATCAGCACATAGATTGTAGGAAATACTACACCTGAAATTTTTTTTTTGATAATTTGGATTTTATTGTTCATTAGAGGAGTTGAAACGGAAACTCATTCGAATATATGATGCAGACAAAAGTAGAAAAGTATATGTGCTAAGATATCCTGACTGCTGGAGAAAGCGTTCAGTTGCGTATTCGGAAACTTTCACAAACTCCTTTAAAAATAGGTCCTTCTAATGTTGAGAAGGTAACTGAGTTCTCAAACTTCTGGTGCTAAATTAGCTCAATCAGGAACAGTAATGTACAATTGATCAACTAGGTCCTCCAATATTTCGAATGACTGGGTTTTTCACTCAGAAAATTCTGTGCGATTTTTTTTCTGAAAATAATGTTCAAATGCTCTTTTTAAGAGGATTGCGTAGCAGAAGTTTCCAAGCCGCCTCACTTGAAAAATGATAAATATGTCCTTCGCTTCTTCTCCATTTCTCTTCATTACCTTAATACCTGAACCCATGTTCTCGCTGCTTGCGCACCTCACAATGAAACCAGTAAATGGGTGGAGCGATGGGAGGGGCCTGATCTCTGAGGCACGAAGGTGCTAGAACCCTCCTGGGTGCGAATGCTGGTGCGAAGTTGGTGCGAGGAAAGGTGCTAGGAACTCCTGCACGCCCTCCGACAGGTCTCACAAGGGAACGATCCCAATTTAAGGGTGGCGAATTGGAATGGGCCGTCTATCATCAGATGCGTCTTCATGAGCTCATTCCAAATCTGCCTTCCATATCTGTGATGCCATTCTCTGCAAAAAGTTATGAGCTGTTGAAAATGCGAAGTCATCGTGGTTTCAGTACATAATGCGCTCAAAATCCAACGAGGTATGACTAGCATTATATTGAGTGTACTGATTTCGACGAATGCTCATGTTCAAAAGAAACACAAATAAGTGTTCACGAGGTAATTCTCGAGGTACGGCGCTGTATACTTGCCAAATTTGGACTTTTCATGGCTCATAGCTTTTACCAAAGAACTTTAGCTGCTTTTTGATTGTTCAAAAACAATTACCTGAGTTTCTTTTGAATGTGAGCATTCCTTGAAATCAGTATACTAAATATCATGCTAGTCATACCTCCCAAGTTGGATTTTGAAGCAAATCACATTTTCAACAGCTCATAATTTTCTGCAGGGAACGGCATCGCAAATATGAAAGGTAGTTTTGGAATCAGCTCATCAAGATGCATCTAATGGTATGCGGCTTATTCCAATTCGCCACCTGAAGCTGGGATCGTTCCCTTGTCAGAACCCGCAGACATTGACATCCTCGCTGGGGAGAGTCAGCTTAGGAGAAAGCTTCGCACATGGCTTAAGCTCGAGTGATCTGATTTCACGTTGTCGACTATCCGCAAGGTATTACTATCGGACTTCACTATAAACATATAGCGTAAAAGGCCAGACTCTGTACAAGCCGCGCTTTCCAAGAATTTGATCCCCTGATGATGCCCGGCGGTCGACTGCCTTCCAAAGTCATTTTTCTTTCTTCGATTTCGAAAATATGAATTTGAAAATATTCCAAAGCTGTACCGATTTAGATGGAAATATTTCAGAATTGTACTGGTTTACTAATTCAGAAGTATTTCTGATAAGAGCAAGAGGGGGGGGGGGGGCGGAAGTTTCTCACCCGAGCCATATTCTCGCACTTAAGTGATGTGCCTGCCAGGCACATCCGAGTTCGCTACACTTACGAACAACGCGACTACGTCAAAGTTGGACTTCTTTCTATAAGTTCCTCTGAATATTACGCTGATTAAGAAAAATTTTCTTGCATGAATTCTCATAGACTAGTTTACTTTGAGACAATACCACAATTTTTCAACTTATTAAATTATGCTGGCATCAAAATTTTCGAATATACGGATTCTGCTAAGAACTGATCTATGGAATTATTTGAGCTGCTGAATATTATGGTATTACGTCCATGGCAAGTAACACCATTTTGCGGAGGTTACTAGGTACATGGTGGCGAGTTTTAAAATTTCAGCAGGACCGGTCGCTGTGGTGATAACGAATAGGATATCATTAGTACTTTTTGTTACTTTGTACATATGCGATGTAGGACTTTTTCTTAATTTTCACCCAAGGGATTACTTTGGCGCTTGTATGATATTTATGACTGAGCGCCGGATATGTCAATTATGCAAAGTTTCAGCAATTCCTAGAACTTGTAACAAAATCCCGAGAAATCTTTGAAAAAAGGTCCTACTATGGGATTCAGGGAATCCGCGAATAAATCTAAAGAACGAGTGACTGAGCAACACCTACGGTTACAAGTTTCTTTCGCCTTTTCATAGCTCGTTATAGTAACAGAACTCTCCAAACACTAGTAAAACATCAAAATTTGAAACTTTAAAAGTGGATTGTAGTTGAACACTAGTTTAACGAAGCGAATGACGTTTAGAAATTCAAAATATCAAATACTAGACTTTTATTTTTTTTGAATTTTGAAATAATTTTGTTGATTTTATCCATGAAGACTCCACTAATTGAAAGCAAAAACACCTATTAAAAAGAGGTAAAAATTCCGCATTAAA